CATGGGAACAATATTTTGACGCCTTGGGATTGACGAGGCCGGGGATCCAACCAACGACGTATCTGATAAAAGACTCTATCCATTGAACCAGGGAGTTGGTTTCAGAATGGCACATACATTATGCACATGTCTTCATACACATATTGGGGCGGTGGGATAGCCTAGTGGTTAAAGCGTTCGCTCGTCACGCAGAAGACTCGGGTTCGATTCCCCACATTGGCATAATCACAATATATGAAGCCCATTTCTGGTGTCCCTCGCCGTGATATTGCTGGAATATTGCTAAAAGCGGCGTAAAACCCGACTCACTCATACACATATTATTGAATAATATGACGAATATTTATTTATGACACTTTCTTCCACTCTGACAGTAATCATATCGATTTTGAGAAATAATTTCAGGCCCAGCTGCATGGAAGGAAGCCTATGTAAATGTATAGTTTAGGAAAATATTATAATAAGCACGACCATCAGTTTCTCAACTCGAATATGATGTATTTGACCTTGACCTTGACGAAGTGTTAGTGAGTTGAATTTGAACCCCGGATGAATCGGTATTCCAGTTAAATCACGGCTTGTCCGCTGTGAGTGGAAGGAAATCCCGAAATAATGCAGGTATCACACATTTACTAGTTTGGTGAAACCAGAGAACATAGACATGGTGCAGACATACCTCGAGACAAAATCGGGGTGAACTGGGATTCGAACCAAACGTCATAGGTCTCTGACGTGCTCCAGGGACGCTACTCTTCTCAACAAAGAGAATTAGAAGTGACCCCAGCCCCAGAGGATGTATTCACCAGATCTCCTGCAATGGTAGACCCTTCAAAACCAGACTCATTTAACACCAGGCATCTGTCAAGACACTCGACCAGAAATTCACCATTTCCGAACACATGAGAAAGAATCAAGATCACAGCATCATGTGGGAAGCCACTTAATTCAAGTCCAACAACAACTGGCGTCTAGGAGGCTGCAAGAGACCACAGACATCAGGAGATCCCAACCGTGATCAAGGAACATACCAGCTTAGCACTGTGGACGTATTGGTTTGATTATTTGTGCTGGCTTCCATGTCTTCACTATCACTAAGGGTAGTTACCCACTATTGTCCATTACCTGTAAGTGCTTGATTACCTATCAGGACTATCTACACCTGGGACAACACATGTTCTATTTGTCCATAACCATGACCCTTCAGCCCCAATTAGGTATTGGCTTCCCTTGTGAAGTGTCCATCATTGTCATCGTATCGCTGTAGTTGTTTCACGTGTACTTATGTAGCTATCTACTTCCTGGTTTTCTTCACCTGATGAAGGAATGTGAATATACTCCGAAACGCTGTGTCCCTCATATTACAGGAGTTGACATCCCCAAATCTGTATACTTCTTCTCAACACATTGGGGTGCCGATTGGGTCATCTGTGCCCCAACACTAGATCAACACTGACAGAAAGATAGGACATTGCGGCATTTGAATGGTTGAACCATTTTCCATGATCTACACTAAGAGGTACAGCAATCGTCAACTCACTCAGTCCCTGAACTACACTATTTTCCCTTGCACCAGACTCCTTCTACAACGCTATAAAAGATACAAATTTAGATCATCCACAGTTTCAGGATTTCCCGTCTCAATGATGCTCTTGTCAATTTTAATGTGGCTGTTTATATCCATCAAAATTTCATGTTCCCAGCGACGGCGTCAGTCTCCCTTCAGCTGTGTTACCAGGACGTAACGCCGACAGGCTGTGACAACCCAGCAGACTTATTCACAGGAGATTCGAGTTAGGTTATCACACTTGGTTGGCATCACGTCACGTCACATTATTGTCGATGTAGTGCAGCTGGAGACCCCCGATGCTCCGGCATCAGCTTTACGGGGTGATTGTTGTTTCAGTTAACAAGGCTAGTAAAGATCCGGGTTAGAATTGGTCTTCAGCAACCCATGCTTGTGGTAACAGGTGACTAACGGGATCGGGTGGTCAGTCTCGCTGACTTGGTTGGCACATGTCATTGTATCCCAGCTGTGCAGATCGATGCTCATGCTGTTGATAACTGGATTGTCTGGTCCAGACCCGATTGTTTACAGACCGCCGCCATATAATTGGAATATTGCTGAGTGTGGCGTCAAACAGCAACCAGCCAACTAATCAATTACCAATATTTCAGCTATAGTACAACAGTCTATATCAACCACCAGTATATAACGTTATGAAAACGTTACTTGGCCGAAACACTCCAAACGTTGAGGACCAAACCACATCGATAACACCAGTAACAAATACATCACCATCAAATAACCATTTCCTGTATGTCTGACTTTTAACCTGGATGAAAGCTTTCTTTTACCGGCAGTTTACATTATATCTGATGCGTCCCAGTCACCTGTCTTCCATTAAACATGGATGTCCCGTTACTTCAGGGTACAATGCATTGCTCCTAATGTACTGTCATGTAGTAGAAAGCCAGGATCACAGTTTTCATATAATGCCTATCAATATAGTTAAGGCTGAGATTTTATCAGTCTCATACAAAACTACTCTACAGATATAACACAGTGGAACATTCGACTTGGATTCATAAATATTTTACCTTTGTATGCAAATGTTTCTCTTCCGTCTTGTACACATTATTCAAGAACGTGAATTATTTGAAGAACGTAGCTCGTCAATATTGGATTTGTTGGGTTTAGGCACAAATGTGTTTCTATTGTAACGGGTTATACACCATTCTAAAGAATATCTATCTATCTATCTGTCCCACATACATACTGTTGGCTATTGAACTTTGTTCTGCTGGTGATTTATGGCTCAAATAAACTTCATTGACAGCAGTTACCGTTCCTACTGGCTGTGTTTGGAAACATTTATGGATAGATAACACGTTTCGGAAATTAGTTTCTTGCGCTTTATTGTCATTACAAAGGAAATGGACTCGAATTACTAAACAGTAGTTTCTGGTTCTCAAGTGACGGATATGTAATTGTGCTGGCATTTCAAAGAACCACTTATGATTATCATGCAATCGGGTAAGGGGATAAAGCATATTTGGTACACCACTGCACTTGTCACTTGTTTCATATACCATTACTTCTTGCTACAACACTCTGCATACCCGCCATTTTTCAACTCTTGGCCCATGTTCTCAAAGCGATCTTAGAGCTAAGTGATCGTAACTCCCATACATTAACATTGGCGTGTGACAGTCGTAACTGTACGGACGGTTTGTGTGACGGCCACGAGGTACCTCGTGATTCGGACCTTTTTAAATTATTCTATGCATTTTGCTGAGAATATATAATTACCAATTACAATACGACAATATTTTTTTTGCATCCAGCTTAGCAAGAGACATTGTGGATGATGGCCATTTGGTTCCAAGGGGTCATATATACGTGAGTTTAAAAATATTCATGTCGTGAGTTTAACAATAGTCACAAAATATCAGTGATTGTGTACAATGTTTGAGTAGTCATATTACTTACTTCGGCTATTGCAATCTTCATCTATGGAGAATGCATGCCGCTGAGGTTACCGTTGCCACCCACGTTTAGTGCGAACATTGATTTACAAGGACGGCCTGACAGAGAGTGTTTACCTACAGTTAGTGTCTACAGTGTCTCGGCTATAACTCTAAGCACGCATCTATATACATTGTTGACAATCTCATCGACCCAGAGTTTATTTCTGTGTAAATAGCCATTAAATATTACCCGAACTGATGATGAACATAGAACGAACAATAATCTGGAATCTTAGACTAAGACAAACTGTATTCAACCCAGATAAGACACAAAGGGGTATTTATATCACTTGTAGAGATAGGTATGGATGTAACTGTTGCTATGTCGCATTTCTTCAGATAGTGGAGAGTTAAGCCATGTAGGTATACAGTACACTGTAGATGTAAAAGTATTAGTGACGTCTCTGAGACTGGAATTCACAGCTTATCATTGCATTTACAATGTGCCGCTGTTGCGGAATTTTTGTACAACATTTTTGTAACTAGTGAGAATTTCTATTTACTTCTGTTTGTACACTGAATGTGTTAAAATTATTTTTCTTTGCTATATGATGTAGCTTTAATTGCCGAATATATGTCTGGAACATACATGGACAATGTAGACGACATCCTTCTATAATACGTTTAGTTAGAATTTAACTGCTTGTCACAATGTAGGTATGATTCAACTGCTGCCAGGGGTAACTCAGCATGAAAACAGCAATGTACTCTATAAAACATCAAGTGAATCTCAAGGCGATTCAGTGGCTGATACGTGTACTATTAGACCATGTTGAAGAAGCATCACAACCCTAAATGTATCCTCAGTAACATCGAATCTTCACTTGGCAAACCAGTGTTATTTGACATCGCCCAACGCTCTCAAGACAAAATGACATCCAGTCAACCAGACCATGCATTCTTCCTCAGTGGTGCACTCATACGTAGAAATGGGGTTCTGGGGACATTTTCTGCCCCGAAAACACAACTAAACTGGTATGCCTGATGCACATCTCATAAATGATATTGGGTACTGAAGAGCAAGTTTGTTCCACAATAGACTGCGGGCAGAAAGGCATCCGGTTCCCTTGAGAGACGCGGGGCCTCATTACAACCCCAACCTCAGCCCCAACCCCAACTCCAACCCTCCCATCCACCCTACCAATCATCTCTGAATGCTGACATGGAGACAATCATATGTACTAGTGTCATGAGTTTGTTTTTGAATTCCCATCGAACCAGTTATGGAAAACAGGAAACACGTTAAGTTCATTTCTTATTTGAACAGACAAAATCACTAACACTTTATAAAATGTCAAATAGTTAAAATTGATACTGTGTGGGTACATTGATTAAAACTGCCTCATCAACACTCCACTTGATACATTCATTAACCATGCAGCAAGCCAGCCGAGTCGTGTTGCTTGAGTAGACGACTGTGATTAACAAGCATACAAATCTATACCCTTTTACAGATGACTGATATTGCATACCTTATATATAACGGTATCCGTATCTTCCTCCATTTGATCTGTCAGAATCCACAGTACAAGTCCAGTAACACGTTTAGCACGATGCCATCACTGAGCGCCATTGAATCTGTCGTCTGCTACAACCCATGTCGTCTGTTTGTTTGTAGGACAACCGCGATATGACGTCACACTCCCTAAACACCGTCAAGAGGCTTAAAGAACAAAAGCGACGTGACACGTCGGTCGGAGACCGCGTTTATTTGTAGTGGGACTTGATTAACCTACTTGATTATTGGTCTAGAAATTAAGATTAGCAATGCGAGCATAACTCGGATTTCCTGCACGAACTTACCAGTATTCCACATAAACAGCGGGCATAATCCTTGCAGTCATGTTGATTGGGTATTATGTGGAATCCACCCGGCCTATACGTTCTTATAGAAACCTTTGTTTACACGATATTCTTTGGCGGCGAAAATCGATGGTTGAAACATCGTGTTAAGGGTTTAAGGAGGAAAAAGAAAATATTGTTAGCATTAGTTGGTTGTAGCTTGACAGAATTCCGTGGCAACTGCCTTGCTGCGATTTCTCGGACCGAGTGATACACGTACACAGCCATCAACACAATCAAACTGTCACATGTTTAAGTCCGACAACACACACAGATCGTAGATCTGCTTATCATCGATTTGCTCCATTTTACAACATCCAAACAATGACAGGCTACCCTAGGCGAAATACAGATTCTATGGTTAATCTGGGGCAACTGGGAATAATGGGCACAAAGAAAGTATTAATATTTATGGGATTCAAAAGACTGTAACCTATTTATTTCAATTAGGGACATTATTGAAGGCATTGCTGACGAATAATGGAATCTGATTGCAACAAAACGGTTTCCAGATTGTGTCTAGAATGACACAGCCAGCCATCAGGGTTGCGTGACATTTTCACGTGAAGTATCAGCAGGTGCAAATCTGTCACCTGTTAAACATACATTATATTAGGGGATTAATTACTGACAAGTGCAGAAAGATCCTTGGTTTAATTAGCGAGAGTACAACACAAACATACTATCACGAATGTACATCCATTGTTAACAACAAATCTGATGCATGGTGTGCTCAAAGGCTGCTTCAAATTGAGTTATTTAGGTCGTGTTAAATATATTCAGACGGAAGATAATCTGCAATCGCCAGTGCCATCTTTGAGTAAATTGATGTTAACAAAGTTCAGATCTTGTCTACAAACACCCCAGGTCGCAACGAATGCAGGCGGAAAAGGTATATGACGTTTACAGTTGAATTGAGTTGGGCTTTACGTCACATCGGCATTATTTCTGCCATATAGTGACGAGAGCAAGTCTGCATTCATGAACATTGCAAGTATAAAGTCCAAATGAGTTTTAGTGTAAAACGTTTACAAACATCACAGGGCGCAAGGAATTTAGGCGGAAAAGGTATATATGACGTTTACAAACATCTCGGGTCGCAAGGAATGTAGGCGGAAAGGTATATGACGTTTACAAACATCTCAGGTCGCAAGGAATGCAGGCGGAAAAGGTATATGACGTTTACAAACATCTCAGGTCGCAAGGAATGCAGGCGGAAAAGGTATATGACGTTTACAAACATCTCAGGTCGCATAATGCAATTATATCAACAGAGTTGATAAACATCTCAGGTCGCAAGGCTTGCAGGCGGAATTTTTACTATATGACGTTTACAAACATCTGAGGTCGCAAGAAATGCAGGCGGAAATAGGTATATGACGTTTAAAACTCTCTCATTAATTTTCAATGCAAAATGTATATGACGTTTACAACATCTCGCAAGGAATGCAGGAAATGTCATATGCGTTGTGACGTCATCAAGGTCATGACGTCATAGCATTGTCAAAAGCATTGTTTACAAACATCTCGGGTCAAAAGGAATGTAGGCTAGGAGATATATGACGTTTACAAACATCTCGGGTCGCAAGGAATGCAGGCGGAAAGATATATGACGTTTACAAACATCTCAGGTCGCAAGGAATGCAGGCGGAAAAGGCTTACAAACATTTACAAGGACATCTCAAACATCTCAGGTCGCAAGGAATGCAGGCGGAAAAGGTATATGACGTTTACAAACATCTCAGGTCGCAAGGGATGCAGGCGGAAAAGGTATATGACGTTTACAAACATCTCAGGTCGCAAGGAATGCAGGCGGAAAATATGAATATGGGACCTTTCATAATTTATGGCTGGGGTGGGGTGATGAGGATTTGTATGGAGGAGCATGTACAGTGTGAATGACCGCCCCTAAAATGTATGTACAAAGTAACACACACACACTGCACATACACGCACGCACGCACGCACACACACACACACTGCATGTCGTACAAAATCAATGACACTTCCCCTGCAAAATTGATGACCCTTTTACTATCAATCTTTGTTATACGGAATTAATGGGGCCCGAAAACACTGTTATCACAAGTGGCAGTACTCTTATATACGGATACGCCCTGGTTCTATAAACGTTCCGGGTTCTGTATCTAACCTTCCCCATCCTATACCTTTGTGGGATTAGGGGCAGAATAGGTCATCACACCTCCATGCTACAGGTCACTAGAACTGTTTGTTTTTGTTTTTGTTTGTTTGTTTGTTTAATGCCGCGCTCAGCAATATTCCAGCTGTATGACGGCGGTCTGTAATAGTCAAGACAATCCAGTGATCAACAGCATGAGCATCGATCTACTCAACTGGGATACGATGACGTGTGTCAGCCAAGTCAGCGAGCCTGACCACTCAATCCCGTTACTCGCATCTTGTGATTGGGTGGTTAATGAGTTATACCAAAGCACCATTGAGCTTTCGTAACAATGGCATCAAACAGAATATACTATGAATTGTATATTTCTTTCGTCTTATTTTCTTGTGTTTCTAATGGTGATTGTATTATTGCTCGCTAGAATTGGTCTGTTTTCCAAAATTTAGGTTCTGATTGCATTAGCTAGATATCTTTCTCCGTAATGGTAAATAACTACAAATATGTTTTGCATAAGGACCTTTAACGCTGCATTCCGTTCAAACAGGACACATCTACATGCGCGGATCCAGAGGGTGGGGGGGGCAAGGGGCAACCCCCGAGTGTTCCAAATGTACTACATGTTTTATGCCCAGGGTTCCGAGGAGGGGACACACACACACACACACACACACACACACACACACACACACACACACACACACACACACACACACACACACACACACACACACACACACACACACACACACACACACACACACACACACACACACACACACACACACACACACACCAAACGAAAATCCTGTATCCGCCCCTGCATCTACCCCACGTGGAGAACCTGCGACTTCGGTGACTTCCGGTTATCTTCGGGTTGACTGCTGCGTATCAGGACCGGAAACTGTGGAGATTGGCGCTTCACGTGCATGTTTTCTGTGTCTCGAGTGATTGACATATTTATTACAACCGACTGAACACCCGCTGTAGTCGCTGAATGTCAGTTCCGGGACGTTCATTCTACCATTCAAATGTAACAAAACGGCTTCGTACAATAATCGAACATAATTACTTGAGCATTATTTTTTTATGGGAACTTCATTCAGTATGTTTCAGATTGCACGAGTGAACAACACTTTAAAAGGCAATAACGTGAATAAGTCATTCATTAAGTTTCGAAGGCATTCGTCTCCCTTAGTATGTTTACGTAACCTAAAGTGTTGTCGAGAAGTGAGTGATTATCTGTTCTACTGCGTTGCAATACCCCAGCAATATCTGGGGACCCCAGAAATGGTCTTATTAACTAACTGTAGTTAATCAACGTTAGTCTGGTGAGAGTCGAACGTTCATTAATTAAGCTATCTTTCCCGTCCGTGAGTTGTACTGGATTAGACTAAATGGGACCCAGCCACAAACGAACAAACATTCCACATCCAATGAATCAAGAACAGATTCCGGTGAAGACTTTCTTCTGATTGCTGACATAGAACTGGGAGAGTCTAAGTTCATTAATTATCATATGTTAGGCAATTCCGGTGACTTTCTGATTTGAGCTATGGCTTCATGGATGGACGTGGCTTTGCACAGGATATGTAAGCTCCGTAGAGCACTTTCAAAGTTCAGATGTAGTGCTCATAATTTCTGTATACAAAATTCTCGGCGGGCTAAAAACCCTGACCCTGATGCATCGCTCTGCCCGTTCTGTAGAAACACAGATGAAGACGAGTTCCATGTCCTCCTTGATATATATCCTAGGTATGAGGAGAGCTGACAAAAGTATCTACCAGAATATTATACAAAGCACCCATTTTTTTTGGTTAAGTTTGTAGGACCACTAGCCAACCAAAATGAAAAACTGTGTTAAGCAATTTTTATAACAAAGATATTTGAGATTAGAGAGACCAAAGTTTAATCCCTACCGTGCGACTTTGCATACCTTACATTATTATACTCCCAGGTTTATGCACCAAGTCTAAATTACTACTCGAGAGGTTAGAACATCACGAACTATATATTTCTCCTTATGAATGCATTTTATTTAATGCATCAGTTTCAATTTTGTACAAAAGCAAAAAAATATAGAGAGTCCAAACATGTATTTAATGCATCAATTTCTCATTGTATCCTATGAGTAGGCAAAGATATATACTGTGCAAAAGTGCAAAAATATAGAGTGTCAAACCATCCAACAACCCTTGCGTCTTGTTTTTGGTAGGATCCAATGTTTTGATAACTAACTCATAGCTAAGATCACAGTGCCGATCCGTCGAATGCATTTTACTACCCACAACGCTTCTACAATCCCATCATCATTCTTGAAAGGTGTTGTGTTAATACAAGGTGGTATTTGGTCTCTCTTGCTGTAAGCCTCTTCATCACCACATGCCAGATTCCTCTTGTGTAACTCACCGACAGCAGGTATTCTTGGTTATTGGACGGAAGGGCTCAGACCAAGCGGATGAGTAGCCTAGGTGAAGCTCAGACGGGCGGAAAGGTACAAGAGAGCTCGAGACCTCGCTATGAAGGTTCCAAAGAAACGGGCCGTAGGGTAGCCTGGTGGTTAAAGCGTTCGCTCGTCACGCCGAAGACCCAGGCTCGATTCCCCACATGGATACAATGTGTGAAGCCCATGTCTGGTGTCTTCCACTCTGATATTGCTGGAATATTGCTAAAAGC